TCTGGGCTCTGGTCCTCACCACACTGGGTCTCAGCTCTCTCCTCATCTCTGAAGCCCTAGGACAGGTGGCTCACACTGCCTGGCTGCCCCGGGTCCCACCCGAGTCCCCAGCCTGGCACTGAGCTGCCCCAGCATTTCTGCCGCCCCAGGACCTTTGCACCAGCTCCCCACTCACACCCATGTGGTTCACGTCCTGCTCCTTCAGAAGGGGCTGCAGGGGCACATTCGGCCTTGTGAGGGTCCCCGGGCCCCCGTCACACGGCAGGAGCTCCCCAACTGCCCCTGCCTCCTCAACCAATCCCAACCCTTTCTCAGTCCCTCCCCTCACGTGTTTCTCTCACTCTCTTTCCACCATTTCTTTATTAGTTTATTGGATTTATTTTAAAAAAATTATTTTATTGGGGGCTTGTATGGCTGTTAACCACAATCCATCCATCCATCCATCCATCGTGTCAAGCACATTTGTACATTTGTTGCCATTGTTTTCAAAACATCGTCTTTGTACTTGAACCCTTGGTATGGACTACTCGGCCCTCAAGGCTCTCTTAACAGAGAACATGAACCCGGGTGGGTGTTCAGTGCAGCCAGCGATCTCGGAGGGCAAGCCACACACCCATTGTGGCTCACAGGACACAGGGGACGCAGGCAGGAGACTGGGCCTTGTAGCAGCGTGACGGGAGCCCAGCTCTCAGTGACCTGGGACAGGGGAGGGAGAGCTCGCTCTTGTCAGCTCAGGGTCGACACGGCACCGCGATGCTCGGTGTGCCCACCTCTTCCTCATGGCTGCCTCGCCCTGGTGGCACAGTGAGTGAGGCATCGGGCTACATGCCTGGGGTCACTAGTTCCAGAGTGGCCGCTGCTGGGCTGAAGAAGGTCGTAGCCAACTTCCTCCAAGATTCAAGGCCAAAAACCAAAGCCGCAGACATCGGCCTGGTTCCAGCCCACATCCGCCGGCTGCATTGGTTTGCAAGCCACAAGGCTTGTGGGACCAGGCAGCCTTAGAAGGCAGTGCTTCCCCCACAGCAGCACCAGGACTCTCTCAGATTCTGTGGGCTGGTGGGCTTGAACCACCCACCTTGTAGCTTGCAGCCCAGTACCACCTCCGCAGTGCCACCAGGGCACCTTCCCTGAGAGTACAGCCTGGGACAGCCTGGGACCCCCTTGGTCCCAATGGATGAAAGGCAGTGAGGGTGGGGTGGGCAGGGCCAGGGTGCAGCACATTTGGGCTTATCCATGTGTGAATGAATGATTGAATGAGTGTATTCTTCCAGATTGGAGCTGAGTAACTCTGTTCCTGCCCAACGCCCCAAGATACCAGAGCCAGAACCCCCAGTGAAGCCAAATACTTCTGGAGCACCCCCAACTGACTCTCGGGACCGGAGGAGGTCAGAGGGGCCAGGGGGAGGGCTCCCTGCTGGGAGAGAACTACCTTAGCCAGGAGCCCCCAGGGCTCAGGAGGCTGCTTTGGGGGGTAGCTTGCCCTGGGCCTGGTGGGAATGGAAGTCCTCTCGCAGATCTCTCCCCCAACGGGACTCAGCTGTGGTGGGGGATGGGGCCCGTTGCACCTTCTCTGAGGGTTTGCCCACTCAGGTCCTACCAGATGCCTGTGCGGGATGAGGAGTCGGAATCCCAGCGGAAAGCTCGCTCCCGCCTCATGCGCCAGTCTCGGAGGTCCACACAGGTGGGGGGTGGAGGGGGGCCAGAACTTGTGTCTGAGGGAGGAGGGCTGGGGGTCAGGACTCCTGGTCTGAGGGAGGAGG